GACAAGGGAGAATAAGAAAGAACCACCTGCAATACACCCTTCATGAAGTCAAGCAATGTAACTATGCCAAGAGGTGGTACAGTACGCAATGAAATTCGGTGTTGGAGCAGCTATGCACGTATTAGCATACTCTAACTTAAGAACTTACAGTTTCGATATGCATAAAGGATAAAAGGTACCGATCATGAGCACAGTCGATGACGAGCAAGGAATTTGCTGTATTCAATAATATAATGCAAGAGGCATCTAGGATCGCAAGTGCTCAAGTATCATATAGTAGTGGCTTGCCTCAATAATTCCCTAGGCAACTAAGAGCAAAGGGAGATAGCGAGAAACAGAATTTTTCTGCAACCATACAGACATTCAAACCATAACCTTGGGCAACCATTGGAAGGGATTAAATTTCCTACAAAAAACAGACACATCAACAATTATCTTAGAGATAGTGATCTTGACTTTCAGAAGATCATTTTGGCATACAGTTCAAGTACTAAGCTGCTGCTTACCGAAGCACCATGTAAACGAGACTGGATCTTTATACCAGAAAAACGTTATAAAATTTCAACTGAACACTTACCCCAAATCAGGTTTACCACGAACATTGTCGTGAACAAGACACCGAAGCCCATAAAAGCATGAAAGTGCTAAATAACCAAAAAGCAAGGGTAAAAAAGATGCAAATGCAAAAAATGCTCACGTACCATCAAGTTTTTGGTTCGGCTCCAGTGCAGGGTGGCTGGACGCATGACGAACAAACGGGCATGGCTGTTCCTCGTAATTACTGAAAGCAGCAAGAGGCTCACGACCAGATAAAGAACCACAATACAATATCGACAGGTAATTCTATTCCTGTCAGGTATGCAAAAGTATGAAAAACTTGAATATGTTTTCCATATATGAACATTTCCAAACGTCCATGCCATATTTTACTCTTCTACTCATTTTGCAGATTCGGCTCTCCGTTGCAGAGATGAGCTGTTCCATAAAAATGTAGTTTTGTTAGTTTTGCACCTTCTCAAAAGGCAAACTGGCAAATTACAATTCTGCAGATGAAATCATCTAAGATGTGAAAAGCTTCAAAAGTGGAAAGGCTGCTGGAATTGATGAACTCCACATTGAGATGCTCGAAGCTTTAGGCGAACAGGGCATGTGCTGGCTTACACGTGTCTGTGAAACTGTAATGGCTACGAGAAAGACACCAGCGGACTGGAAAACGGGGGATGTTGTACTCCTGTTTAAGAAGGGAGACCACAGGGAGCGCTCCAACTCTCCAGGCGAAGTATCTCGCGGTTGAAGAAAACCATAAAAGAACTGCGTAGAGGATATGTGGATGATTTTTGAAACTCATTCCGCTTTCTTGTCTTCTTCTTGGATAAATTAGCCTTTCAGTGGTTCTAGACACAACGAAGCACACAGGTGGTATTTGCTGAACTCTTCAGTCAAACTACACTTGCCATCCTCAGGGCGAACTATGTTTCATTGCTTTGGCTGAAACGCCGGCATGCCATTAAAGGTATCCATTTGTTTCGTTGTGTCCAGAACTTTTGAAGTGCTAGTTTAATGACTTCTTTACATGGCATATTAACCTAAGGGAACGTATAAAACAAGATAAGTCGTAAGCATCTACGTAGCACAGTGTTTACTTAAAACGTAAGCACGTGGTTTAAAGGCCATAATGTCCACAAGATTTGACGAATTTTCTAAATATGGTTGCCTAAAGTGTTGGTCGCGCGGTTTTGTTAATCAGTGAAAATTAAGCCTCAATCCAACTACGCATCTAAACCTAAATTTTCCAGACTTTATCAGAATTCGACAAAGCTCTTGATGTTATGGAAACAGCATTACCAAAGGTCACCAGCCAAATGCATCGTTAAATACAGCATATTTTAAAGGAAAATAGCAGCGAAATGGGCAAATTTGTCCAACGAAAAAAGCGAAGACGAGAAATTCTGGTTCCGCTTACCTGTAAAAACGGGCTGAAATTTTTTTAATGGATACTGCGCGACTTTGCTGAGTACCGACATTCTCAGGCTCTTAGTCGTTAATATTTCGCCATTAACACGAAGGCACCGTGTTCAACAGGTGTGTGGGAAAATTGTCAGGTCTGATAAGTTCGAAGATTTGTTATGTATTACTTAAGCGTACGTAAATGAGCATAATCGCGAAAAATGTTCGTTAAAATGATAAAGGCATTTGTTGGTTCCAAAGTTCTGAAGATGAAAGTCACTATCTCACCGCAATCATTTCATATAGTATAACAAAAAAAGAGAAATTTAACAAGGAAAGTGCAATGGCCTCATTTAAAATAGAACTATCGTTACTGAACAATGACACTCAAATCGAACCTTGACTGCATGAGCATGGGATATTGGTCTGACGAGTAATACGGGAAAAGGGCTATGTCCTTTGAAAGCTTTCGCATGCAACGCAGTTACGACAACTGGCACAGCGTATCTAAAAAGGAAGGTGGAAGTGACATTCTTTAGTAGGTTGACAAATTTAATTTTCTTCGCTACATTAACGCAAGTGAGGATACGCGACAGTCAGAGTTAA